CAGCTGGTGAAGCTGGAGCTGGGTGGCAATGGGACCACCTGCTCCGTCTCTGCCCCTTGTCCACGCCACAGCTGCGCTGGCCCCCGTCCCCTGCCCCCCGTCCCTGTCCTGCAGAGGAGCAGGGCAGTGCCAGGGCTGCAGACACCTTCTTGCAGGGACACCAGCTTTGCGCTTGCTGGGGGATTTGCAGCTGCTGCTGCCTCTGGAAAGGACTTTTGGGCCCTGCAGCAGGCGCATCCCCTCGGAGGTGACCCAGCTGCTTCCAGGGGTGCAGCATCTCTGGGGCAGCCCAGAGCCGCTTCTGGGGCTTTTGCTGAGGGATGGCTGAGCAGCAGAGCCACAGTCCCAGGGAAGGGCTGTGTGCCCGGCCAGCCGGGATCTGTGGCCGATGGGGCAGCAGATGTGGCAGTCAGAGAATACCCAAACAACTGCGTTTTGGCTGGGCAAATGTGGTGCCTCCCCGGGGCCAGCCCTGGGGCTGTCCCTGCAGGTGCTGTGGTGGCAGCACCCTTGTCCTGGCACCACCGCGTGCCAAGCCCAAGCCTCAGTGCTCCTTCCCAGCATCCCTGACCAGGCTTTTATCCCACGTGAATGTGAAAAAAAGGCACAGGCTCTGCAGGTCTGCGACAGGACCACAGGCACGCACAGCCTGGGTGAGAGCACCTGGCAGGGAGACCCTGGGTGCAGGGTCCCCGGCAGACATGAGCCCCACAGCCCACCCCTTTACCCAGCCCTGGCTCAGGGGTACCCACCTCTGCCCCCACCCCTGGCTGGGGGGCCCAGCAGAGTCCTCTGGCTCCAGCAGGAGGTTCCCTTAGTGCCAGCTCTGGCATTCGTGGGACTCGCCTGACGTGCGGGGTCTCCACGGAAACCCCGCAGCATCTCTCGAATTGTGGGACTGTCAGAAATGTTGTATAAACAGCTCCTTTTGTACCGGGTAATTTGCAAGTTATTATGGAACCATGAAAAGCCTCACGTTGGGAGTCATGGGCTGGGAGGGGAAGCGGAGAAAAGCTGCCGGAGCTGCCAAGCGTCATGGGGAGCGTGATGCCTGTGTGCAGCCCTGCGTGGGGCGGCTGGCTCCCCAGGGGACAGGTGAGCAGCATGGGGACAAGCGCTGGGTGGGGAGGCCTCCAGCAGCCTCCCCACGGATGCTCTGCAGTGCTGACAGCCGGGGGGGCTGGGACCTTGGCAGCCTCTACAGGAGCCCG